TACTGATCACCCAGTTCCACCCCTTGAGCATGTCCAAAACTTTACCAAAAAGTAAAATAAACCATAAGTGGCCCCTACTATGGTGAGACCTCAGTCCTGTAACCTTTGCCAGACTCATGCCCTTGCCATGGTGGAGTCATTCTACTCCTAATTTATAAACAGGGAACCAAGTACAGGAACTAAAATGCCTCGGTAAGAGGTCACAAAGTCGCCTCTACTTCCGTGGCTAGCCTGGTATTTGCCAAACTATTGTTCTGGTCCTTTGCTAGAATTACATGATTCTTCAGCTCTGTTCCCCTCAGGGAGGTCTGGAGATGACAGCTCTACATCAGAAGGCAAACAAGGAACTCTTGGAGAGTAAGGAGCAGTCATATACCAAAACACTACTAACCTTCCCAGGTAGGTGCTAGAAGTCTTGGCACCCAGTAAGCAGCACACCACTTCTCTCATGGGTTAGGATTTCCATCTTGAGTGGCCATTCAATAGCAGTGCTGTTAGGTCTCACCCGCGCCTTTCCCTCCCTCCCGTATCATAAAGTTACACCACCATAAAACCGCTCTGAGGACCTGTGCAGCCCTTTCCTCCCCTCACTGATCTGTGCCATATTAATCCTCTTGATTAGTTTTTGGTTTTCCCAAATAGTTTTTTAGTTGAACTGTTGATGTTTTCTTGTCTGGTTAAAAATATGTCGCTGCTGGCATGAATGGACACTGATGCCCCTTTTCAGATCGGACAAGTGATAACGTGAATTGATGTAATGTAAATGCTGCCAGGAAACAAGGAGCAGTCATCCCCAGCGGGCTCGAGCATATCAAACCTCTGCTTTAAACTTCCACAGAGCTTTTAGTCCCGACAGACTATTAAATCATATAAACTGACACGCTGTATATCACAGCCCATTATAGTAACAAGGTTACCCTATTAGTTTAAGTGGCAATAGCTTGGGTTAGGCAAACTCCTCCAGAGACGAGAACACTTGCACCACAGAAAGAAACAGCCACACAAGAGCATGCTCTTATGTCCCGAACCCACTCGTCCCATTAGGGCATGCTTCAAACCTCTGCCGTGGCAGAAAAACAAAGCAGCGAGAGATAATAAGCCAAGGTGACCCTTGCCACAACGGAGGGAAACATCTCTGGTCCTCCCTGCTTACGGACTAGAAGAAAATTGCCCGAGTCTTCTCAAACTCAGCTGAATGATCGTTGACCCTGGGACAAAGACAGTGAGTATCATCATGGCACGATGATGATTTCACGATCGTCCGACAATTTTCCACAATACATCAGACCACCAATTTGCTCTGTGTCGTTTACACAACCCTGAATGCACCAGAGGAAAATAGTGTGAAGCCCCCTTCAGAATATATTGGAGCAGTTGTACACGAATCGCAAGAGAAAAATCCCTCCAGCCAAGTGTGATGAGCGGCAAGTGTGGCAGCTCAATTGAGTGCAGTATAAAACTTCTGTTGCTCCTGTGGCACATGAAAACGGGAAATCAACAAAGAGTTCACAGCTTTAGTCTCTGGATGGGAAGGCAACGTTATTAGGGGTGAAGTCCAATTTCCACGCCTCTAAGGACTCAATGTATCCTGAAAAACCACAACACAGATCTTTCAGAAAAATAGCTACTCTTAAAGGCTACCTGAGATCCATTTATGGGATAGTTGTTAAACTTTCCTCAACACTACAATGAGCATAGAGCAATAACCAATAATTCACACAGGAGCTTTGACTGCAAATGCATTTTATATGGCTGTAGCATGGTTCAGTGAAACCCACGGGAAACTCAGCGTGGCCAGTGACAAACTGCATGGGAACCAAACCGACAAATTTTGTAGCTGAATGCAGCCCGATCCAAATGCAGATATCAATGTGCCATGTGACTCCCAAGTTGGTGCCAGTACATCATCCGTACCTGCATTTGACACTGGGCAGGCTGGAAGCTTCTGAGAGTGTTATACAGTCCGAAAATCATAAACACCAAGCCAAATCTTGGTGTGGAGCCACTTGTCGTGAACAACGGCAGAGAGCCTGAGAATGGGTGTGGGGTACCTCAGGAGAAGCTGGGGTCTGCTCACAGCGACGGGGGGAGATGCTGCCTGAGCCACACTGCAGGTGTATGAACAATCAACCGTGCCCAGGCTCACACCACGAATGGATGAGGACTCCTAGATTCTTCACAAGAGGGATTCTGAACTGAAAGACCGTGTCCAGGTAGATGGTGACCAACAGGAGAGTACCTGTCAAACACCCACCATAGCGGAGTACAGGAAAAAGGCAAAAAGTGGGGAAAAACTACTTCCAGAAACACTAGCTGAGCTGGCACTGGAGGTCAGTAAGCTCCGTGCTACTGTCACACCAAAAGCCTTCCTGACAACCCTTCAGCTTGTCATGCCAACGGCAAACACTGCTGACGGCTGCCGCAGCAGTATTGTGATCACGTGCAGCTGGGAAGTGCACGTACTGTTCAGATAACACAATGACTGCTCTTAAGTCTGCTGTAGTTTGATCTGCTTTTATGTACATTATTTCTTAGGCTGACACGACCTTTTCTGGTTAACACATACTGATTTGGCATTTTAAGAGAAGGGAAAAAACTCATCAGCACAGTTTTTGCATCACGTACCCATTATTTGCTGGTGTTTTACTAAAAACTCTGGCAATTTTCCAGTTCATTAAGGATCAGCTCAGATCTGATGCTGCTGGCAAGAAATAAAGCTATTAGGATACCAATAGTAAAATATTTAACCTAAATAAAAAAACCCAACAACCTACTGCTTACAAAATAGTAGCATAATAATTATGGCACTGGCTGAAGCCATTTCGAGTTTTAGTGTACTTGCACCTAAAGGAAAACTGTTGTGTCTCTTTAATTCTATAAAAGCTGTCTTGGTCAATCAAGTTACTGATATCTAAAATGGTTTGTAACGTTTACCGTACTTGTTGTAAGCAAAGTATTAAAGGCTCGAGGTGTTAACAGAGAAGGCCCCAGGAGAAAAGCAGCACTGGCTTTGAGTTAGAAAATAATTCCTCCTCTAAGCAAGATTCATACTGATTATTTAGAAGACTTCCAGACCCTCGCCACCCTGGGCAGAGGGTGGTTCTGAGCAGAGCTGTTGTCCCAGCCGGGCCAGCCCTCAGTCCTGCTGCCAGCGGTGGGGAGGGACACGGCGGCTCCACCTGCACCACTGCTTTCCCGCTGCATCGCCCCGGTGCGCGGGCTGTGGTGGGGAAAACAAGGACCCGTCTAAGAACTGGGAAGCCTTTCCACCTTCCTGGGGAGAAGACTGCTCACACCACAAGAGATTTGTAGGTCGCGTTGTCCTCTATGTTGTTCTTCACGAAGCCCTTTATTCGTCATTCAAATGCAGGCAGGGCAAGGCGGGTGCCCGCTGCCGCCACGCTATCGTCTCAGCAGCTCACGCAGAACCGCCACATCTGTTCTGCCCCGCACAAAGCCTCCTCTGCTCCAGCAAGTCTCCTCCGAGCGCCGTGTCTCCAGACCTCTCCTGTCCTCCAGAGGTGGGTGCTACAAACCCCAATGTGCCAAACGGCTGGTAAGCAACCCCCCGGCTACGCTGGCAATAGAGAAGTTTTACTTATATGCAAACTTTGACCGCAGAACCAAACCATATGATGTGCCAGGCGGCTTTCAGTAAGTGGCAACAAATTACAGCAGCTCAGAGGACCGGGAAGACTTGTGGAAGAGCAATGGTGCAACTCTGGAGCGATAAGTGGTTGCACGGGCTGCATCTGCCTTGTGGAGCGGTCGCACCGGCAGCTGATGGAAAGTACTTCATCAGCACTTACACCAATGCAAGATGAAGAGTGATGGGCCTAGATGGAGGTAAGTAAAAAGGAACAAGCAGAATAATGAAAATAAGCCCACCGAATGGCGCAATTACCTACTTCTCCCTACACAGAGCTGGTCATTCCCTGGGTATAAGGGTCAATTTCTGCATGAATCAGATCCATTACTTCAAAGTAGTGCAGAGTCGGGGCCAGAGACACAGGCTGTCTGTTGCTACTGTTTCCAGGTTTTGTTTCAGGGAGGGGAAAATGCTGAGTTTTTAAACTGCCAAAACCCTGCAGTGTGGAGATTCAGCCAGGGCCACAACCGGCACCAGCGCCAGCCCTGCCGGGATGCGCCCTGGGAGAGACCTGGAGACCCGGCCACGCTGAACCACCTCTGTCTGTCTGTCCTCTCTCTGCTCAGGCAGATTAATCCCAGCTGATCCTTACACGAGAATAACTAAAAGAAAAGAAAAAAGGATGTACCTTTGTGAAAAGCAGAAGATCATTCCTGTGAATAAGCTGATCTATACAACACTGCGATCAGAGAATGGCTTATCCCAAATTATTTACAAATCAGCTGACACTGGTCAGGTTTGACAGCCCTGTGTTTAAGTTACAGCAATACCTATACAGTAGCAATATCACCAGTCATAAACAAAGCATCTACCGGCGGAACGTGGACTCAGCTATTGCATCAATCTGCAGCAAAGAAAACATTAAACTCCATTCTGTTGAGGAAGCGCTCTGTGGAATCAACGGAGTAACTGTAGTCCCATTCACTCCTTCTCCAATGCCAATACTTTCTCTTAAATACAAGTATGTGCCTGTTTCTTTTATGTACAACCACTGGGCCAGAAAATAGAGGGGAAGGTTTGTGTCTCCAGGCACAGCTTGTGAATTCTGCGACTTGTCAGAAGGGGTTCTGGGCTGGTGGGAGGTGTCCCTGCCCAGGGCATGGGCGGTGGAACAAGATGAGCTTTACGGTCCCTTCCCACCCAAACCATTCTATGGCTCTGTGATTGTTGCCCTGATCTTTTCCCTCGCTTTGAGAATTTACAAGCCTCTGTAGATGCTCTTTGCTTCTCCTACTGTTCAGTAGTACAAAGTGGCCTACATGGAAATTTCTAGGCTTGGATTCCTCTACGACAGTTGCCTTCTTTGCTTGCTCTGCGTCATGTTCCCACTCTCCCCTTTATTGCTACTTACTCAAAGGGGTCGCTGGGATCAGCTCGCTGGAGCTCTGGAGGAATCGGGATTCTTTTGTAGTACATTTCCCAGTCAAAAGCTCCTCGCATGGCATCCCCCGCCTGTGCCTCGTAGCCAAAGTGATTGTGGTCAATGACATCGATCATAGGACACACGATGGTTTTGTGGTTTAGTGCAATCTGGTCTGAAAAATGAAAGTAGAAAATAGGAAACGGCATGTCTAGTCAAGCCATCCATCATATTACTGCAAAGTGAATCCCACAGGTTTTCTGATGTTTGAAGATTGCTTGCTTTGTTCCCCATGGCCCCAAATCATTTCATTTTTCAAATCTGTATCAAACCTTTATCTAAAGTGGACTTAATGCAGTTGGGCAATGATTAGAAGCATTTACAGTTCTTTAAAGGGAGGCATATCCCTGTGAGACCCACAGGAGTCCAGTCATCTTTATCTCTGTCACTTTGCTACTCTGAGCTGTCCCCAATCTGTCAGCTACGGAACGAGCCAGCAAGCAAAATGTAAAAACACTCCTTCAGCTGCGGGGAGTGTGTATGGCAAGCTCCGGCGAGAGAGATTTGTGTTCCTAAATGTGAATCTCAGCCCTTGCAACCCTTCAGCCGCTGTTCCCACGGCTCTGGTGTGCATCAGCTTTGAGATCAAACCCTACAAATTAAAGGCAAACTCCAACACAAAGAACAAAACAGGGCTTGCGTCCTTTTTTTGTACCAATCTTTGAGACATAAAGAAGGCCCCACAGTATTATTCTTCCTCACCTGTTTTCTAAAGAAAGGAGTTTTCTTTTTGCTTTAAAAAAAAAATAAATTAGAACTGTGAGACTAAATCAGATTCCCATCTCTAGTATAAGGGCAGGGTGGGCCTGAGTCTGCTCTGGTGAATCCTATTGCTCAGTCCCATAGAGCTCCTCAGAAAAGAAAGAAAAGCAAAAAAGATATTCCAAATGCAAGAACTAGGCAGAAGAATAATGGCTGGAAATGAGGAAGTACAGGGAAAATTTGTAGCTGCGTTGGCATGAAAGGACAGTAGAAGAGCTATTAATAATACAGATTCTGCTTTTGAGCTTCTGAAGGATTGAAATTAAGAAAAAAGATTATTTTAGCAAAACATCTGTAATTTTCATATTTATTCTCAGTTGTTGCTTAGAGACTGTCCAAATGGGGGAACAATGCTGACCGCTAGTGAGAGATACAGCAGGTTTTTACATCCTTATCCTTTAATAGTGAAATAAATTGAAAGCACAGGCTCTCACAAAATTCCAGGAAACTCCTATCAGACATAATGGCTGCATTACTGTTGCTATTGCCAAACATAATTACATTCACTGGTATTCTGTGCAGTGTTATCTGTAATCATTATGTAAAGTCATTTTTACATAATCTCTTTCCTGTGATGGTCCTGCTAATAGTTATAGGGCTTATAATAATCTGTCTCTGATCCCCCCTTCTAAATCGATTGGAGGAGAGAAACTAAATGGGATTGATCTGGCTGGAGCAGGTCAAAGGTGGGCTCATAATACATTAGCATCCTTCTCTTGATCTTTAAAAGCTGCTGCCTTTAAATAGGCTGAAGGATTGGAAATCTCCAGGTCACATGCAGAGGTAGCCAGGGAGAAAATTATTTGAGCAATGCTCAAACTCAATCCCAGTTTTCATTTCTACAACTCTGCAAGAATTTTGCAAGTAAGATGATGCTTACCTGCCTGTTCTTGTCTGCATCTGCAGAACTTCTCAGTCCCAAAAATGTTTTAGAGATGATGAGGAACTACAGGAAGACCTTGACTTTTGAAGAAACCAGGGTGTTCGTAGTTGCGCATACCAAAAGGCAGAGTAAACAAACTTGCAGCCTCAATGCCTAAAATAAGGTAGTTTCATACATACTTCTTAGGCTTAAATGTAGCCCCAATATAAATTTAGGAAACTGGAAAAAGGGCTGCAGGGCTAGCTTACATTTCACACGAGTGCTAGCGTCAGGGCTTTACAGATGTGAAGATGCTGCTGCCTTTGCCAGCCACTGCTCTTCATCCCACCTGCTCCTACCGCGAGAGTCTGAAAGCCACAGCTGAAAAGCTCTACACTTTCTTTCCCATTGCCTTTACTCATCATCCTCTCACAAATTCCCACTGGTCTGAAAATTTCCACGCATTATTTCAAGGCACACATGCTGCAGATCGAGGGGAGCACAGACAGATAAGCATCGCTGTGCATGTAAAAATCTTGCAGATTTGAGGGAAAGAATGGGATCAAGAGGGAGCATCGCTCAGCGCTTTCTCCCCAGCAATTGTAAGCAATACATACAAACCTATTTGAATTCAGCACTTTTACTATCAAGCAGAGTGTGCACATATGATAATAAAGAGAAGTTTTCAATATTGGATAAGTGACTGTCTCAAAAATGTAGGTTTTATCTTTTAGAGAAAGACACATCCCGTTAATTTCAAGTGCTCGTTTCCAATTGGCCCGGTTAAAGTAACAATGCCACACTGCAAATACTCTTCTTTTCCTGCTTAAATCCTACTTACAGATGGTGAAAACATTTGAGTGGCTCAGCAAATTATCTCTTGTTATCTGAGTTGTCGTAAGTACTTGTACTCTCAGTCTCCCCACCGGCAAGCAAAGCATCATACAAACGCTGTGGAGACGGACAGCTATAGCTAGCAGGTGTCTTGATAACTTGCTAAGCACGATCTAATCGTGACAGACTTTTAAGTTTTGGTCAGGAGAAAAATCTGTCTTGAGAAACCTTGTTCTGGTAGCCTATGGCACTACTGATCCTCGCCCATGTCCCCCTCGCTGCTCCGCTGCAGCAGCAGCAGCAGGAAAGCTGTGCCTGCATCTTTCAGCCCGTTTCTCACCTACAATACCCGGGACTCCCCAGGAGAGCAGACTCAACCCAAGAGCCCAAGCCACATCCTCCCCTCCGCTGACTTTACACTGCTGCGGCGGGGGAACAAACGGCCGCGTTTGGCAGCGTTTGTACGTGACTACAGGCGCCCGCACCGCCAACCTCGGGCAAAGCTCTCTGGCGTCTCGGAGCGGCTTGTCTCAGTTTAGAAAGCCAAAGCTTAAAGAAAATAAAGAAAAGCCATTTTGCACCTGTTTTCAAGAAAACAAAACAAAGGACTGTACCTGAAAACAGCTGTGGCTCAGCTCCGCAGAGCTATTTAGATACCCAACAGCACTGAGATAACTCACCCTGCCTTTGCTCTGTGAAGTGAGAGTCAGTTCTGAAAATATAAGTTAGAGACCTACAAAACTCTGAGAACTGCCTTTACGTGATTGCTCTTGGTTCTCTCACCACCTCCCTGTCCTCTAACTTTCAAGGTCTCAAAAGGCGGTTTTGGGGAGCGGGATGGGCGGCCGCTCTCAGCGGGGGCTGGCAGCCTTCCCCCGGGCAGGGCTCCCTGCGCTGGGCGAGCACTCGGCACTGCACGCGGCAGATACAACCAGAGCTAAAATCGGGCGGCTTCAATAAACACCCAACATATCCTCTGTTGCGGTTTCCTTGAATGACATTGTCACGTGCAGTGCTGAGTGAATCACCAGACAGATCTTTAGATAAACATTTGCAAAAATACATTAACTTTACTACTATTAGTAGCCAGGTGTCATCTGATTGCAGTATAGTAGATATTTGCCACCTAATGGTTATGAGAAAGTTCTCTCATGGCTTTAAAAAACAAGGCATCCTTCAATATATTTGCTGTGTGTTCATTCTCTGTTCTTCATGTAATGCTCTACTTTTTCTCTCAAAGTAAAGCCTATTGATTCTGCGCTCCACTATTTCTCAAGATTAATTTCCAGGTCCTCTGGCTGGTTAGCTATGGGTATTTCTACTACATGTAGAATGAGAAAGACCTCATTCCATCCGGGAACTAAGGAGGACTGGGACTCGGTCCCTGATGAAGTTTCTCTCATCCTTCCCGTTTTCTGGCTTGAGGCTGAGGATTGTGATCATCAGTTCGATACCCAACTGCAACCTAACTGCAATTACGGATCCTCTGTGACCATTCCGTTTATTTTTCAGTTTTTATAGGGTGAAACCCAGCTAGATGTACCTTCATTTCAGACAAGAAAGCAAGAAAAGGAACTGGTTTTGCAACTTGCAATTTTCCCATGTCTACGCTAGCGAAATAGAAGGCTTACATCTCACGGGCAGTAACTTAGCAAAAGATTTCAGAGGGCAAGAATGAGAATCTTCTTAAGACTTTTTTCATTAGTGGCAATGTCTTATGCGCAGTGGGGCAAAATCAGAAAGCAGAGGAAAAGTGGTTGTACATATGCGTAGAGTGTTTAACAGCTGCTTGTTGGGGCTGCTTGTGGAAGGCTTGTTGAAACTTGTATTTCCCTCTGCTCCTTCATGCCATTTGGGCTTTACACAAAGGCACAGAGGTCATTTTTAAAAACGCTGATGTTGCGATTAAGGGCAAAGTGGTAACAAGGGGAAAGACCGTACATGTAATTTGATATGGAAGGTAGAAAGCATATAAATTTGGAACTTTGTCCATTATCTTGTTACTCCTCTGAAGAAAAACTAGTTACTAGTTGGGTTTTTTTTTTTTTTTTTGGTCTCAAGTGATAGTTCATTAGCAGAACAGCGTCTCATTTTGGCTGCAAATGCTTTATCAGCTTATCCTGTGGCCAAACAGTCCTAGCAACAAAATTCGAGAAACAATGCCCATTAATCAGTGATACCTTACCCTGTCATGGACTTACGACATACTCTTTTAATTAATGCAAATTTCTTTAATAGTAAACTGAGGAACATTCTTTTGTTTGGCCAGCCAAAAAGCCCTCACTTTGCAAAGCACACGCACTTTGCACATAGTCAGGTGTGTGGGAAAGGGGACATCATTTCCTGGAGTGAAATCCGAGACTACAATTGATTCTTCCCCTTCCTTTGACTAATGGAGCTTCGCCAGCTGCAGCTGGAATCCAGCAAAGCAGTCAATAGCAAATCATTCTTTCTGAGCTTCCTATTGTGGATGCAGTTGTTATTGGATTTAATTCTGAGGTCTTGGATACATTTACAGCAAAAGCTCTTTTAATGGATCGTGAAAGACTAGGGAGGAGTACAATACCTGCATAACAAAAGTTTTCAGGTGTATAGTAAGGGCATAGCACAATACTAGATTTAGCAGTGTCTCCAGTGGTAGTAATAATAAAATAAATTGTAACTCTAATAACAGGTGAAAGTGATACTTCAAAATTTTACCAGTTCTTTAGTCGCAAGAACAGTAAAATGGAGCTGCTCGCATTTCTCCGAGCTCGCTCTCATCCTGACTCTTCAGACACTGCGGCACAGCTCCAACCACTTCTACAGAGCGCGTGCCCTGCTTGTTGGGGGACATGGCTCTGATTGCTTAGGCTGTGCTGTGTGCTCTGATTTCGACACCTGAGGAACGCTCACACACTTACTAAGCAAGGGAGGCAGCCAATTCACGTTGACTTCGCAATGGGAATCCAGAAATGTCAAGACTTCTCCTCTAGCCAGCGAGGCTCCTAGCAGTCTGGTCCGAATGAGCCCTTCGCGTTTCTTGGTACGTACAATCCTCACTTTGGCAAAACGGACCATGTATTCCTCCAGCTTCTCTTTTAAATGTTCTAGAAAGAAGGGCAAAAAAAGCGTCAGTGGTGCCAGGCCTGGAGGAGCCAACAGAAGGACAGGTTGGCATACAACCTGCAAGCAGCTTATCTACTTCCATCTCCTGTCACTCCAAGTCCTCCAAAATCTGCCGCAAATCCTCTCTGAGACGGTTTGGAAAGTGCAAATGCTCTCTCTTTTATCACACGGAGGAAGACATTGACACTCTGGACCTTTTACTGCAGTTGCTGCTGGCAACCTGCCATCCACGAAACAATCATGGCCAAAACAACTGCAGGATATTCATCCATCCTCTGGCTCCTGCAGCCCAAGGCCAGATAAACACTCTGGCAGGCCGTTTTATAAACAGTGGCCTTTCCAAGGGGGTTTCCTATATCAACTAATTATGAAGAACTATGCGTGGAAAGCAATTTTTTAAAAGTAGGCGTTAATCTACCATGATTAGATGGTTATTGTAATGGGAAGGGAAACAGACACGGAAGAAGATCTTAATAGTTGGACACCAGCGTGAAGCAAACGGACAGCTGATTTCCTAATAAAATTAAGCTGCAGATATAGAGCAGTTCATAGATTCTCTTATCTGCATAAGCTGGCTTTGTTTGTATCAGAAAACAGCACCTTTGGGAATTTTTTTTCCTCTGACTAGAAACACAGACTAACAATCATATAAAAACCCCAACAACAAAAAACACCCTGTAGTTTTGCATCTTCCTAAAAACAGCTACCACAGAAATACTGATCTTTTGTCTTTGGTATAACAGCACAGCTTGTCAGACTCATTACTTTGGAAAAATCTGATAATTTCATTTGGAGAGAAAGAGAGAAGCTTAGTCTCCAATAATTAAAACTGGTGATAAGCCACATTTAGTGATGCTTGGTGTTGCAAGCTAAGTCTCACTGAAAGAGCTTTGCCAAGTCAATTGCTTCCTCTACCAGCCTGTAATTCCTTGGACTTGTGTGGTCAGTACAAGCCTCGGTCCAGACCTTGCGTCATGACAGACTGCAAGAAGTTTGCCGTGGACTACTGGGAAGGACTACCGTTCCGCAGTGCGCTGGAGCGTATAATGCCGACACACAGACCAAAGACAACCAGGAAACAAGACACAGTGCAGAGAATGCAGGGTCTGGTCTTCAAACAAAATCAAGCTCCTCCTTGTCTCTGCTCCTTCCCTTCCTAGCCCACCAACGCACACGTCGTTCCTAATCTACCTGCAGACTAGGAAGGAGTAGAAACGGTGGTGTGTAGTTATAGGTACGTAGTGTGAAAGTACTGCATGGGATGCTCCTCTGTGCTGAGCAATCCTAATGTACGCTGACACCGAAGAGGGAGAGGCCTGAGACCTGGGAACACCAGCCTGCGAGGGTCACTGAAAGGGTCGGGGGTTTGGGATGGAAAAACTGGGTGCTTTGGAGACCTGCTGAGGCAAAAGAGTGGTTTGTGTTCATAGCACTGCCCAGGAGAAGTATGAGACCAAGTGAGGAAGGCCAAGCATGAGACAAAAAAAAATAAAGAATGACATTCAGATAAACATCGGATGTTTTTGTCTTCTACTCTGTGGGTGATGGCAGAATACCCAGGTTTGAATTCTGAAATACGAGTAAAAGAATTATCCCCTTTTTCATCCCATTTTGCTACTTATGTACTGGATTAAAAATCCAACGCAACCCCCCAACAGTCACAATGACAAGAGGCGTATTGTGTCTTTGAATGATGATCTTTGTGTGACCAACCACACGCAGGGCACAAGGGCAGTGTGCCATTCTGACTCATTTTAGGCACCAGCTACGACTCAGCATCGTGACTGAGCCGAGGCTAAATCAAGCTTCAGATCATTTTGTGCCCACATGCAAGACTGTCTAAAGGGTATATTTATTGAACTGTTTTCCTGTTTTTATGAGCTCCATTGAGGCTATTCCCATAGCGCAGGAAGACAGAAGAAGGGAAACAGACCTTAAAAACAAAGCTAGAAAGACCTTGCAGGTAATATAAGAAAGTCTGTTAGGACTGTCAATCTGGATTTTTTTTTTTCTATGTTGTAAATTGTATCATCTTATAGCCATGAAAAATGAACCAGTTATCAAAGTGACAGGATATTACATATTTCCAAAGTAAATCAAACCTCATCTGCTAGGTGCCATAGCTTCTGTTAGTCCTCAGACACTGTGGAAGGTCGTCAAACCTTTTCCCCTCTGATCTCTTCCACCCACAAGTCTTCAGTTTGTACTGAGTAGCGCACAGGAACCCTGCACCAAGAGCAAGGCCACATTGCTGCACACTGTACAGACAACTAATAAGGTGATTTAGGTGACTCAGCCTGAACACAGCTCTCCATCTACACCATCAAGCACTCAACACCTCAGCTATGGTGCAAGTCCCGCATCTCCACCTGCCCCCCTCAGAGGTGGGTTCACTGACGAGACTCCAGCTGATCCGAGGATCCCACTACACAGTTCTGAATTTGGCTACGTGCTTTACTACTCCCTGTGAGCTGGTTTTAGGCAATTTCCATCTTTGTATGTGAAGGCAGCTATCAAGGAAGCACCTCATCTCTCTGACGGAGAGAAGCAGGAGCCTTACTTGGAGAGCCCGAGTTGGGGTGTTGGTAGGCTCTCTGTTGCCTGCACAGAAATTCAAGGCACACCCGAATTGGACCGTCACTAGTTGGGTGTCACAGTGGCTAAGGTAAGGCTCTTGCAACAGACAGTGTGAATATGGCCACCGCTGATGTTTAAATGAACTAATACAAATGCCCTCTTTTCATGCATTCTGACTGTTATCGCTTGTCCTGGGCCATATAAGTTCAATCTTACACAAAGAACTTAATTTCACTCCTTTCACATCTTGCAACGAGCAAATTCTGACAGCTGAGTGCCTATCTCTTCAGGAAAACACTTCAGGGAGAGATGATGTAAACGATCATATTATGACACATTCTTTTCTGTTCTTGTATCAATTGCTAAATAACAAAAGAGCTGAATAATATAATTTGATTGTCATCAGTTGTATTGGAGCTTGAACTCCATGAAATCAGTGGTAGTTCATACTGTTCTTTCATTGCTTCAGGTTCCTTGCAAACCTAGGAAAAACGGTCTCTCAAATTTTAAATATTTTATTTTTTTTTTGGCCAGAATAATACCAGAAATTCTGTGGAACAAACAAGAGTTCTCTATACCACCTTCCTCCTCTCAGATAGCTCTTCACACATTTCAGACAGCGTGTCATCTGATTTCTGAAGAACTGCATTAAAACATCTAGCACATCTTTTCATGCCAGAATCACATACCCTAAAATTGTTTTCATCTACTCATTTGATAATTTGATTGGATAATTTTATTATTTTCTCCTTGTCGCTCAAAGAACAACTTGCAAAAAAAAAGCAGAAGTATACAAACAGAATTTGCACCTCTTGTTCACACAGAATTCTAACTGCATCCTCATTTAGACATATCCGGAAGTAATCAGGAAGAAAACAAAAGTATTAAAGTATTAAATGTTAATTTTATAGAGCTTAGTTAGACAAGTGGCGTAAAAAGATCAGGTCTCCATACAAATCAGAGTATACGGATTACTAGAGATACATAAGGTATCTAGATCTGTTAAAACAGCTACATGTTAGTGATAATCCTAATAAGAAGTCATGACGTAGTCAAATGGATGCCAGGAACAATCCCTACCCTATCTTTAGTTTTGAGATTTGCCCAAGACAGCTTGCGAATTTATTTGGGAAAAATTCTCAATAACTACAAAACCATCATGAAGTATTTAAGTTCAACGACCAACTCAAATATGCTTGTGAGAATGAAAATACCTTGAAGTGAAGGAAAAAATCCCTTTTGGATCCATAAGTAATGATTTTTTTAACTTAAATCAATACGATAGTGCTCTCGTATCGTATTTTCCCCTGCAATGTCTTGTGGCACTATCTGTTTCAAATCTTACCAATCTCTAAAAGAATAAACAAACGCAGAGTAACAGCCAGAGACAGTAGAACTGTAGTAGTTCTAAAGAAAACTCTAGTCTTTTCTACTATTTATATAAGTAGTAAAAGCACATCTTTCACGTTGAACCACTCCTGAAAGCCACTCCCACACTACTCAATATACTGGTATTCTCACAGGTGAGACTCTTCAAAGCCGAACGGCAGTTCTGCGGGATGTGCGGTCAGCAGCGGGCTCTAAAGGCGGGCTGCCGTGCCCGAGCCAGGCCGTGCCCGAGGACACCGATGCTCTCACAAAGACACTGCCCACGAGTTGCTCGGAACAGGCTAGACAAGACTCGGGAATTCTCTGTATGGGAATAATTTTGATTAACAGAAGCATTTGTGATTACTAACAAATTTTGATTTTTTTAACCTTGCCTTTTCCCCAAAATACACCCTTTTTCACAGAACTCCATAAACTTCCTTCACAGAAGAGAAAACCAAACGATATTATATTTCCTATAGTACAACTGCATTTTCTCACAGTTCCCAATTATTGTGTCGCTAATATTATCTCCAGAAGAAGTGTCACACAAAAACCTATATATTACACCATACATTTAGAAGCAAGTGATGTCAAGTGCCATATAAACACGCATCAATCAATGTCAGAGCGAAACCCTAAGTCTAAAGAAATTATCTGAAAAAAATTGCAACGTGGCGTGTAAAATAGAAAGCAACCTGTAATTAAAAGGCCTTTAGATGTCCAGGGGACAACGCATTCTGCCCATTTATCACCAAAGGAAACAGTTGAAGCAAGCTTGCCATGACAATAGACCAGGGAGGTAGGATGGTTTCATTTATATGCTGTATTATTACATAAATTTCCCTTTCAGAGCTAGGCACGAGAGAGAAGCCGGTATTTAAATCCTACAGCGAGCTATAAATGGTGCACTTTGGATATAAAGAAGCCAAAGCCCCTGTCACTAGAAACCGGGAGTAAATGTCTAATTTGTAATTTAAAAGAAAATACATCTTTCTTTTCTACACAGTGTTGATCAAATGAACCCATGAATCAT